CCAGCTCTACACCTTGTTATCTCAGATTCTCCAGCATCTGCAGTTCCCACTATCTTTGGCAGAGTGGGCGGGGCTACCTATTGAGTCCGTGTGGAGGGGCGGTGTCTGCGTGTTGCGACTCACCTGAGTGGGCGGGACAACCTGTTGATGAGGCGGCTCACTACTGAATCGGGCTGTGGGGACGAATTAAGTTATTTCTCTTTCCCCTAACGCAGGGTGGGGCTTGGATGTGGCTCGGTCCGTGACCTAGAGCGAGGGGACGGAGTCAGGAGGGAGCACTCCAGATGGGCAGAACTTTGTGGGGTCTCATTGATATGAGTAGAGTGAACGATCGTAGATGCCATCTCATCACCAAAGAAATTTAGAGCAAAACGTCGTTTACAGTTTACTAATAAGATTTTTTTTTCCATTTTGTTTTATTAACATGCAAACAAAACCAACAATATTGCAATTTTATTTCAAACAGGCTTTTTAAATAGCTTTTTTTGAAAGGGCTACAGTGAACAGCTAAGGTTTCTTATTCTTTTTTAGGAATTTAAAATATGTTTGTGTTTTAGAGGGGTATTTTAACATTGCAAAGATTTTTATTAATAAGGAGCTGTGTTTTTGTTCTGGAGAGTCCTGTACGTAGTCGGCTTTGGAGAAGATTTTTTTTCTTTGAGGAACTTATTGAAGAGGAATCATTTTTATTCAGTTAATCAGCTAGGTGGTTGATTTTATTTAGTTTTTATATATTTGATATATATTTTTAACTTCTGGTTTACTCCCAATGCAAACTTGAATGAGGGAAGGAACAAAAGGTTAAAGGAAATAAATCATTGGCTGAAAATCTGATTATATTGTTCACGGATTCAGGTTTTTGGACAATTGGAATGTCTTTTGGGATTAAAGAAAAGACCTGTTGAAAAAGCAAGGGCCTAACCTAAACTGGAAAGCAACCAATATTTTAGCAGGGAGACTTGCTCCTTCTATTAAGGGAGACTTTATACTGATAGAGAAGGCAAGTGGAGAAATTCTGAGTAGTAGCATAAGCTGGATGATTGATGGGGTAGGTTCTGAATGCAAGGAAAGCCTGTCAAATAGAAAGCAAAGACGAGAGAGTCAATATGTAGTAACTCTGAAGAACTAAGTTGTATTTATTTCAGTGCAAGGGGTCTTACAGCTAAGGCTGATGCACTCAGGGCATATTTAAGTACATGGAATTGGGGTGTCATAGCTATTCTAGAAACTTGGCTGAGAGATGGATAAGACTGGTAGATCGATGTTTCAGGAGTTAGATAATATAGGAATGATAGAAAACAAGGTAAGAGAGGATGTGGGTTGGTGTTTTGATGAAGGAATACGTTACTGCTGTCACTTGAAGATATTTCTGAAAAATCATCCAGTGAAAATATATGGGTAGAAATTACAAATAAGAAAAGAAAGATCACTTTGTTGGGATTGTACTATAAGACCCCCAATAGCAAGAGAAGTTGAGAAACAATATGTATGGAGATCTCGGACATATGTAAGCATAGTAAAGTTGTAATAATGGGGCATTTTAATTTTCCAAACATTGGGGCTACTGTAGTGTTGAAGATTTGGATCGTGAAGAATTTGTTAAATGTGCTCAAGAAAATTTTCTGGGATACATTAGATCAGGTCCTGGAGATTTATCCACCTTTTATATTCTCCAAGACCTCCCAAACATCCTCTTCTGTGATGTGAACTGTTTTTAAAACATCAAAGTTTATTTCTCTGCATGTGAACACTGGACACTATTCTAGAAGAAACCTCACTAATGTCCTATACAACCTCAATGTAACATCTCAACTCCTATAATCGAAGGACTGAGCAATGAAGGGATATAGGCCAGGAGCAGGCAGGTGGGACTAGTTTAGTTTGGGATTATGGACTGGTTGAACCGAAGGGTCTGTTTCTGTGTTGTGTGACTCTGACTCTATATAAGTATGAAGGGAGTAGGTGGAACTTTCTGAGGGAGGGACACTCGACCCAAAGCTTTTAATCCTGATTTCTCTCCGCAGATGCTGCCAGACCTGCTGAGCTTTTCCATCAATTTCTGTTTTATTTCAAATATACAGCATCTGCAGTTCTTTCAGTTTTTAATTGGAACTTGGGTTATGGCATATGATCCCGCTGAAAAGGAAGTTGATTGGCTGAGTTGGTTAGACGGCTAGTTTTGCAACGCAGAGTGATGCTACCAGTGTGGATTCAATTCCTGTGCTGCTGATGATACCTCCTTTATGTCCCCCCTCCTTGCCTGAGAAGTGATGACTGTCAGGTTTAACCACTGTTATCCCTTATAACTGAGGGATTTGCCCTAAGGACTCCTGGGAGTATGGTGACTTGAAAGAAAGAAAGAAAGAATCTTGAAAGAATACCATCTGATTTTTTTTTTTTTTTTTGTGGAGTCCTAGAGCTGTGCACAATGGAAACAAACCCTTTGGTCCAATTTGTCTATGATGACCAGGTTTCCAAACTAAATTAGCCCCATATCCCTCATCTTTCCCCATTCGTGTACCTGTCCAAATGTCTTTTAAATGTTGTAACTGCACCTGCAACTACCACTTCCTCTGGCAGTTCATTCCATGTACAAACCACCCTCTGTGAAAATGTTGCTCTCCAGGTCCCTTTTAATCTTTCTCCTCTCACCACATAATAGGTTTTGAAATAAAACTAAACTTTTCAAACCCAGTGATAACAAGGTGTAGAGCTGGATGAACACAGCAGGCCAAGCGGCATCAGAGGAGCAGGAAGGCTGACGTTTCGGGCCTAGACCCTTCTTCAGAAATTTCTGAAGAAGGG